CAAGCCACCAGTGAAGTATTGCCAAGGTACGACACCTTTTTTATGGGTGGTTTGTCAATACTCTTATTCTGCCATTAGAAAATATTAATTAGAACATCAGTAAACCCACATACACATACCTACGTGCATTACAAAAGTTGTTCAAAATTTGAACCACGTGTTGAAAGACAGACTTCGAGGTGCCTACCAAAATTATTTCTAAGTTGCGCAAAAACGTCCACCATTTGGATTATTTCATTTGCAGCGATCATCACACGGTTGTGTAATTTCTACGATATATGATTACTTGATTAATGGAGATACAGGATTTTAACGACGTTCTCTCCTGTAATAACTCTTGTTCGTCGTTTGAAGATTCATTTTTACTTCAGAATCAGATCCACTACATATAATTTCAGCTTTGATTTGAACGTTTTTAACGTTTTGTTTACTTTTATTTCTCTTGAAACGTCCATCAATGATCACAAATTTTACAATATTCCCCTGTAACTGAATTGCGATCGCAATCAATATTTTTTTACTCTTATGGGTTAAATTAATTTACATCATTTTTGATTTGAGATTTTGAATATTAGCATTTTTGTTTTTAATACTTTTCTCTTTTCAGTGGGTATTTCAATATAAATCGGTTAAGTCGTTTTTGAGGTTTTCGTGAAAAATGTGAACTAGGCCAGCTTTTTGCAGAAATTTACACCAGATAACATATAATTATAAATAGAGTTTGAAAAATATAGTTCATTTTCTATTTTTCTTTATAGTATTGTTGCTTCTGACTTTACTGAAAGAAAAAGTTTCTGAATAAAAGTAAAAAATTTCTAAATTTTCTGTGGAAATGGCAATTTTTCTAGAAACATGAAAAAGACAAATTTTGAAGTACAACTTTTACTCAATTTTTAACCAAACTGTAGGAAGTGACAAGTTCTATATACTTCTTCATTTCCCCTCAAGCGTACCTGGGTATTATCTATTTTATTTATTAAAAAATATATTTATCTACTAGTTGTAACAATATTTAATACCGCGCACCTGAACGCAGATGTAGTATACGTATATCTAATACGGTATTATATAAAATTAGAGTGGAACTGCCAAAACAACACTTTAAAAGTAGTATAACTTCAGAATATGCACCACAGCACCACATGGACTCACAACAGAAGGTGCCGTTGCTCATGTAGAGCAGAGCGGTCTACGTCTTCAAGTGTCTGAGTGACCTACCTGATGTGTAAAACAGAAATCAAAAACAATATGATTATTGCAAAGTAAACATTTAAGTTGTTTTAAATATAAAACGATATTAATCAACATTCGCAGAACATCGTCACGAATACAAACGTAGTTTTAATGAAAATTTGGAAAAGAAAGGACTACAAAATGTAGAAATATTAGAATTAAACAAATTAAAGGTATTATTTTAGATGA